TGAGACAGGTGAATTTTTATTGCATTCTGAAGGATGAGCAAGTTGTCAGTTTTATTAGAATTCAGGTTTGGTTATTTTTAGTAAAGAATAAATGCAATGTTATGCTGATGGTTGCAAATTATCGCTTGCTTTGTGTACTTGTGATCTGCAGGGCTGGTGGGATTTTGTTTTTTTTAAGGCACTGACTTACAAGCTGCTTTTCATCCAGTAGTGACATTGGAAATTCAGATTTTGTGTGTGTGTGTTTGGAGAGTGCTGTGAGCATTTTGATGCTTCCTTTTCTGGGGAAAAGTAGCAGTACTTTAGTCAGAGGAGCTCAAAAGATTCTTGAACCCTTCACCTTGACTGACCTTTTTATCCTGTGTTTTCTCTTCCTGCTTATGCAATACTTTGTTTCCTGTTTTGACTTTCAGCATTGTCGATACATCGCGGTTTTCTGCCTTGGTTGGTCTGTTTTGGGTTTTGTGCTGGGAACCTGTGAGGCAGAATAAATCCTTTCTTTTCATGTAGTCACATGAAGTATTTCAGGCTTTGGAGACAAAGATCAGCTTTTTGGTTGTGGTTGCTGCTGCTCCTCCTAATGGCAGTGATGATTTGCATGGAGCTTTTGTGATTCTGGAGGTGTTTCTGTGTCCAGTTAGTTCTACCTGATGTTAATTGGTCAGTTTATTGTAGCCAGGACAGATTAATTCCACATTCCCTGAGTTAAATTCTTGAGATTCTGCCCTTTTCACTGATTAAATCAGCTTTTTAGTGGTAGTTTGTAGTGCTTTTACACAATTTCTTAGCTCATTTATCACCCATCTGCCTGATGCTGGCTGGAATTTATATCCATTTTAGTGTTGAGACCAGACAAGGAGAGGTTAAGTGTCTCTTGCCTGGATGTCTCTGTCCATATTAAGAGTTCAAATGCTTTTATTCTTCACCTTTGCTCYATCAGACAAGTGTCTGCTCTGGAAAGGTCTCATTTTGTGTTTCTCAGCATTTCACATCYGTGTGTTTCCATTTTGAAGGATAGTGGGGAAAGCATTGTAAGGGAAGGTGTTTTTGTGGCTGAACTGACTTTGCAAATAAATATTTAATAGGAATTTGAAATACCTGCATCGTGGTTGCTYTTGATGTCACAGGCAAGGTGTACAGTAATTTTTAGCTCAACTGTAATAAATCCACAAGGCMTGACCAACCACTTCTTTTAACCTTTAAGCAGAGATTGTTGTGTGTAGCAGTTCTTATATTCCTGATGTCAGTAATTACATCATCAAAAATGTATATAATCAAGGAATATTTAAAGTTCCTTCTTACAGTAGTATCTAATTCTAGAGCTGGGCATCTCAGCTTTTGCATAGTTTGAGTTTCAGWTGCAGTTTTAGTCCAAAAGGAAAACTCCAGGATGACTTGGTGATAAATATGTGAAGGCAGAGCAGAACCAGGTGGTTTCCAGCATGGGSCAGTTTTGGAAGGCACTGCACATTTCATTACCTGGAATTAAAAACAAAAATGTGGGGTAGTACATCCATATAAAAGCCTGAAGTTTAAGTAACACTGAGAAACTAAAAATATCCTCTGCAGTTGGTGAGCTGAAGGTTTGTTACAATTACTTTAAGCTGGGTGACATTTTTAGCTGAGGTTGCGTGGTTTCATTTAAACTTTATTAAACAAACTGGAGCTGGAATATTCCCTGGAGAGCTGGATGCAGCACTAATCTCCTGTTAAACTGTCTGCAGCTTTACTGGAAACCCTCCAGCTGAGGTGGCAGGGGAGGTTTGTGTTAGCAAAGTTACCACAGGCACAATGACAGGCTGGGACTTGGTTTCATTGGTGGTTTTTGGAAGATAGATAGATTTTTAAGATAGATAGATTTTTAAGAATTATCACACAGTATCTAATTATTGAAACTTGGTTTTATTAGCTTGAAAAAGAACCTTACAATCAAAAGGTCACTTCTGTGGTCTGAAGGTGTAAAGAATTCGATGTGCAGTTCCAACTGAGTGTCTTTCCTTGCAATAATATTGAGGTTGTGCCACCTGTTTTTGGCAGGTGGGATGTGAAGATGGCTTTTACTGTGTTCACTACCACGAACTCATTCTGGGAAGTTGTCAGTGTCTGTTTTTCCCTGTCAGGTTGTGAATGCACCGAGGGTACACCCCATAGTGTGGTGTCTGTCTAATGACAGCAGCTTGTGAATGCTCTTCTCAGAGGTGTTTGCAGACACCTGGCTCCTGGAAGTGTTTGGGCAGACTGTGCCTTTGGAAAAAGTGAATATTCCTAATGAAAGAACTTCAGTCAGTGTAGGAAACAGGTTTGTCAGCTACACCCGTGTCTAAAGGCAACATGAAATATCCCTCTGTGTTCTGTGATGCTTCCTGTGTAGGGCTTGTGAAATCAAGAGAAAAAAAGCAGCTTCTGGGGATGTGAGTGTTCTAATTTCTAATATTATTATAGTAATAGATGTATTGCTTCTAGAAATGTTCCTTTAATAATTGAAGACTTAGTTTTATTTCCTCTCAAAATGCCATCGTGTTCTATCTCTGTTGAATAATTGGTACTTTGGTGTTGGGATTTTGTATTCAAATATTTTGCCTTCCAGACTTGTAGTAAACATTGATAATATCTTTGATTTATACTCTGCTCATTTCAGTTGTACTTTCATGTGCATGGATCTAAATGTATAATGAACTTATCTTTACAAAGCTTTGCAGATGATTTTAAATGGCCAGCATCAGTCATTTTAATGGCTCCTGGGGAAGGAATGGAAGTAATTACCTTTGCTGTTATTCCRTGACCTTTTTTGTAGTTTCTGCATGCAAACAATAATACCGAGTGGGCTCTGGCAATAATAACTTGCTTTTGAAATGTAACATGGGCTGGCACTATCAACTTATCATTGCTGTTAAATACACTGATAGTGAGGTTCTTTTKGAAGGCTTTGGGAGTATTGCTTGACAAGTCCTGCTCACAGCTTCCTCCTCATCTTGGCTGGCATCTCAATCACTCACATGGATCATGGCAGAGATGTTTATATGGGATTTTCCAACTCCTGAGCACTGCCTGGAGTGCACCCTGGGCASTCAGGGGTGCTGTAAGCATCAGCTTAGCAAATGCTTTGTTTGTATAGAAACTTCTTTCTCAAATAACCCTAAACCAGTTTGGATTAAACGGTGAGGAGATGAAAAATTTGGCAGAGGGGGAGAAAAAGCCAGAACACAGAGTCTTTTTTTGTTAAAAAAATGTGTGTGTGYRCAGGCATAGAAAARCTGCAATAAATGAGAATATTTTCATCCAAGAGCTGTTAGATTTAGTCTGGGATCCAGGTTGTTTGCTTTACTTTGCCAAAACAACAAAGGCARCAGCTTCCCCTTTCCTTGTTCCCTGAGCAATCCCAACACTCATTAAATGTGGGGAGTTGTCCCTGCTGGCTGAAGATTTGCTGTGGTGACGTTTTKCTTAAAGGTGAGAGGAGGTGAAGCACTTCCTTCATTTCCTCCTTTTCTGAGTGTTCATTAAAGCATCACCTGTGAAGGCACAYGGTGACTCTGGGTAGATGTTAATATGAAATAATGGAATTGAAACACCTTGTAAGCCAGGTAACAGTATGAGACCAGCATTCTTCTGCCATCTAATTAAAGCAGGCTCGTTTTAGTAAAACAAGATATGTGATAATGATAATCACCACTGTGCTAATTGATAGCTCTGGTGCTGTGTGGGTCATGCTTGAGGGTTTATCTCGTAGATACTTTGATTTTATTTTTTCTTTCTGGTCAGAAGTACCCAGAATCCCTAATAAAATTTGAGAAGAAACATAACCCAATTTCTTTTTTTACACACAATTGTTAAGTGGAGCCAACATCTGTTTCAGTGTTGACTCGGATTAAAATAAGGGAGGAATSTTTTAATGTGATTTAAGGATTGATTTTTGCTTTTGATGAATGAATTAACTGAAAAGTAGAAGTTTTACTGAGTGCTGGATTAAGCCCTCAAGTGCTCTGTTTTATTTTGGCTGACAAAAAGCTCGAAAAGCCTTTGGCCATGGCAGTGTTGTTTCTGCTTGTGTTCTGATAGCAGGGCAAGGAGAATGCCTTGCTATAAATTCAGTGCCTCAGCTCCCATGTGCAGCATCATTTCCCTGGGCTTSTGCATGGTAAATACTCCTTCTGCATCACAGAACTTCCAGGGATCCTGTGCCATTCCCTGCAGCTTGCCTTTGGACAAAGGCTTTGTTTTGTTCCACGAGATCCTTCCCTTCTTAAAACACTTTCTTGGAAAGTTGCTTGGTGCTCRTAAAATCTGAAGGCAGCACTGCTTTCCAGGGAGCTCCCAGCCCAGGATGAGCAGGGTGTCACCACATTTTCCACCTTTACACTTGTGAACAAGTTTGAACAGGTGTAGCTGGCAAGCAGATTTTGGATGTGCAAGGGAATTTCAGGTGAAGAATTTCATGTAATCCAATGTTTGATTCCTATTAAATCACGTCTTGCTGCTCTGTCTCATGAACATGCAGTGGTGGTGAAGTATTTTATTTGTTTTAATACAGAAAAGCAGACTGGTTAATTGATGAAACTGAATTGCCTGAAAGATGCTGGTGGAGCTCCTCTTGATAATATTCACCGCTGTTGGTTGCAGATAATTTCTCAGGCTTAYATGCAATGCTAAATTGATCATAAAGCTGGTTTATTTTCCTTTGTGTGAGGAGAATGGTGCTGAATTTAGAACAAATTACAATACACCATTGTAGTCAGAAAACTTCAGCAGTGAGCTGTTGTTCCCATTGATGGTAACTACAGGGCTGCTTCCCTTCTCTCTTTTCAAGCAAGATTAGATTATCACATCTCATTTTCTCCASTCACATTTTCCCACTCTTTAAGGGAAATCATGCATTTCATTTCCTCCTGTCTTTTGATTGTAAAGGTAAAYGTAAATGGAGGATTTTGACATTCCTTAAGCTGTTACCTTTCTGTAGCATCCTCATTGACCAAACCCTTTTTTGTTTTCTCTGTTTTCAGTTACAGACATAGAACTGAAACGGCTCAAAGATGCTTTCAAGAGAACTTGTGGCCTCTCCTATTATATGACCCAGCAGTGCTTCATCAGGGAAGTTCTCGGTGATGGGGTCCCTCCCAAAGTTGCTGAGGTGAGCTGTGAACTTGCTGTTTTCTTTGGAAGCCAAAAGCAGTGGGAAATGGGCAGCTGGAGTGATGCACAGCAAATGTTGATGGAGTTAATAAATGTATTATTTACATATTTTTTATTATTATTATTATTATTATTATTATTATTATTATTATTATTATTATTATTATTATTATTATTCCCTATTAATACCTGGCAGATGACTCTGAAGTAAACCTCAATATCCAGATGTAAATTTGGGCAATGAAAAAGTTGGGAATTTATAGGTTATTATAACAGATTTTATTTACTCCAGGCATGCACTTGCTGTTGGTTTTTCTGAGATTCCATTTGCTGTTACTTTGTTTTCTGAAGATGAATCTTTACAAGCTCTTAAAAATAAATTTGTTTATCATAAATATGTAAATGTACTGAAAAATAGCCAGAACAAAACTTGCTATGTGGATATAAATATATATCCATGTGTATACATCTAAAAAAAATAGTAGTACCAACCTGCACATGTTTAAAAATTATTTTAATTTATAGAGCTACCCCTTTCTTGAGAGAGACATCAAAATATTATTGGTAGAGAGKAAAAGCTTAGGCAGACCTTTCAAATGATATCTTGCTCCATGTCATTTCTAGTCACAGCTTCTATTTTTGGCATCCTCAGCACTGTTGACCTCAGAGGCAGCGTGCAAGGCTCCCAGTTTTATTTAGATAATGTGAGTGCTGAAGTGTGCATTGCTGCAGGTTTTACACTCTGGCTGAGTTACTTTTCCTAAGCTTAATTTTTTTTTTTCCTCTGTTTTTCCTGAGTGTTGGCAGAGGATGATACTATTTAACTTCTGTAAACACTTTGCTTTTTATGTGGGTGTTTAGGGCTTAGCAGGACAATTTGCAGTGGAAAAGGAGGGGTCTGATTTGCCCAGAGCCTAAAGCCTGACTTCAATATTAATTTTTGAGTGTTTTCTGGATGCTTTGACAGTTGGTAACCCCTAAGATAAATAAGAAATGTGTCTTTCACAGTGTATGATTGGTTTGAAATAGTGTAAAACATTGAGAATTTTATGTTATAACTTCTACTTTTATATCCCTTTTATATCAGTATTAAGGATCCAAGTTATTGATTTGGTCACAAATAGAGATTCTGGGTGATTTATATTCTGCTGGCTGATTTATATATTTTTTTTTTAAATCTGTCCTTAAAGACACAATTTTGGTGATGATTGTCTCTTTCAACAGTCATTATGGTTATAGAGCAGTTCTTGGTTTCCAGGTGGTGAAATAAAATTAATGGAAGCCTCATAATTGGTTTTTGATGGCTTCTCAYCAGAACTCATCTCAAAATTCGAGTACAAATTATGATGTACTTGTGGCATTCATACTCAGGCAGTGCAGTATCAAATCTGTGAGCTTGAAAACTGTAAATTGGGCCAAATTTGGGATTTGAGTCTGCTCACACTGTAAAAGGATGCTTTGTAATTCCTGGTTTCAGGATGGGGAGAGGCAGGCAGTCATTAGGCAGCTAAAAACCTAATTCTGAGTTTGCAGCCTTTCACTGGTTAAACAGCTYATTTGGAGCCTCAGGTTGCTGCTCTGCATGGTGTGAATTATGGTTTTTCATATGTGAGGAGTGAGAGGCCTTCAGGAATTTGTTAAAATTAAAAACTCAGGAGTTTTAAACAGGACATAAATCGGAGAACTGAAACCAGAGGAACTTGGGTCGAACAATTTGTGTGATTGTCCTGCAAATAAAATGTTTTTTAAATGTTCAGGACAGTAATGTTCTGGGAGGATCTCTTGGGAAAATGGAGTTGAAGATATTAAAAGAAAAGTGAGAGACGTGTCTGTGYTGTTAAACTGCTGGTCAGGTGGTGGGAAGCATGAGCACAGCTTTTGTTTTTTAAATCTCATTATATTCTTCAGTTGCCCGTGAAATATAATGTGTCAGGCCTAAATTTTATTTAAAAAATAAGTATGTGCCATATAATTATAGTAAATCTTACATTCTGAAATGTAAATTGCTGTGATTCTTTCTGGGTGTGGCTGTTTTAAGTAAAGCTGCAACAGCATTAAGTAATTTGGAAAATACAGAATTGCATCACATTTTGATGGTGTATGTTGTTAGATATTTTCCAAATGCCACACCAATGTGAAAAACTGTGRAGTTCCTTCCTTAGAAATGCAAACTGATGTATTCTGTGACTATTCAGTGTTTCTAAACTCTTCCCAAGGAATAATTAAGCAGCTAAACTCCAAGGAATCCCAGCTGTAATTACACCTATTAAATACTGATCCATTGGACATTATCCACAGAATTCCTTTCTCTGTTTATCCTGTGAGCAATCCTTGTGTTGAAATAATGTATAAAAGTAATATTTGCTGCTCATCTGGTATCACAGCTGAGGTAGCAGAAGTGGGTGAATATTATAGCTCCATATTTTAAAAGAAGTAATGATTGCAGTGTAATATAAAGGTAAATTACCCTACACAGGGTGAAGGTGAACACAAAATGATTCAGCATTAAAAGTGTGGAATTCAAATCCCTGCCTTGAAGCATACAATTGTTGTGTCCAAATAAAGCACAAATTCAGTTTTGATAATTCAGCCCTTCAAGCATTTGTAAGTGGATTAAAGTTTAGGAACAGAAGAGGCTGATATGAGCTCCCTGTGGAAATTTGAGCGATGCTGTGAATCGGAGTGGGATGGAAGGGAGGATCTGGGGGGTGTTTCCTGGAGAATTGGATCCTGCTGCACACTGGAAAGGGATGGAAGGAAGGAAGGATAGATGGAGGGATGGATAGGTGGATGGGTGGATGGATGGATGGATGGACAGGGAGATGATTTCTGCAGCTCACACCCCAGCACTGTCACCGTGTCTCCAGCCAGGCTGCAGGAGCAGCAGTAAATCTGGTGTCACCACTCTGGTTAGGTGTTCCCTTATCTCCTCCTGGCCACCACAGCTCTGAGTGGCTGGGCCAGGTCTAACCTTGCCATGCCCATGACTGGTTTAGTTTGGGCACTCCCAGTCCTGGCCTAATTTTGGCTTGTGGTGGAAACCACCCCTGTGCTGGTGCAGTGACTCACAGGGCTCTGGTGTTCCCCTCTCTGCTGCTGGGGATTCCTGCTGCATCCCTGTCATGTTAAACCCACAACAATCCCCTTGATGCCTTTGAGATTGTCAGAGCCCAGCCTGGAGATTTCAGCCCTGAGAAAGAAGTYTGGGGAAATAACACCACGAGCAAATCAGAAATGTCCTCACTGGAGGGTTCTACCATGGGGTTTTTATRTCATGGGGTTTTTATATTGCTGTTCATGCCCTGTACCTGTGTTTCACCAAGTAAAGGCTGTTTTATGGGTGCCAGAAGAGCTACAGAAGTGTAACAATTAATAGTTAAAGTGTGTTTAGCTGAATGTGAGATGTTGAGCATAAAATCCACATAAAGTGGAGCCTCAATATGAGCTGCTGTTTTTACTTCTGGCATCTCTGTTCTGATTAACTTCTTTATTTTTGGGTAACTTCTCTGTTTTCTTCTTCTAGGTTATCTACTGTTCATTTGGAGGAATATCCAAAGGGCTGCACTTCAATAACTTGATAGTTGGATTAGTTCTACTTACAAGAGGCAGAGAGGAGGAGAAAACAAAATGTAAGTGATGTAACTTAGTAACAAGATAGTGGATTGTGAGTGTGAAATGTGACCATTTTACAATAAAGACAKGATTTTTGGWAACATTTTTAGCTGTATTTTTYGAAATYAGGTGYGTTTTTGTTTTYCATACTCATCAAAATGAAATATTTRATAAGTCATCATGAATGTAAATGTTGGGATCCTACAGAAAGCCTGATGGTCTCTGTATGTGGGCAGAGGAAGGAGGATGGCRTTGATATTTTTCAAAACAAATGAAAGCATCTGCCTACTGACTTCTGTTGTTTTGTCTTCTCTGTTAATCTGACTTGATAATCCTCATTTTCCTTTTGATTACAATGGTAAAAGAAAAGGGACATCTTGACCTAAACSTTGTGGACCTGAAATTGGATCAACCCAAGTTTTGAGTCCTTTAGTTGTTGCACAGCCTTTGACGTTCTCAGCCAATTGTAAACTTCAAATTTGAAAAATGTTGCTGTCACAGTTATTTACACATCTCTATTTCCTCAGACATTTTCAGCCTCTTCTCTAATGAATCTGGGAGTTATGTTGTCCGTGAAGAGATGGAGAAGATGCTGCATGTGGTTGATGGGAAGGTCCCAGAGTCACTCAAGAAATGCTTCTCTGAGGTATTTCATGCAGCTTTTCTCCTGTTGCATTTACAAAAAAGCCAAGATTAGATTAAGTAGCTTCTTTTTCATACTCCTGCACGTATTGGGAACAAATTGAGCTTGTTTAAATTGGGTAAAAAGCTCAGAGATTTTTGTGTTGTGGTATTACACGTAATTTGTATTGATGTGAACAGCATTTGGTGTATAAATGCAGGCATTCTCTGTGCTCACTGTGCTGCTTGGAAAGAGATCATTTCCCAAGGGTAATCATGTTATCAGGTAAATTTAAATACTAATATTGCTGGTGGGAACTTAGTCATTAGTGTGAACGTTTTATTGCAGTCAGGGAAGAAATCTAGAACACAGRGCTGAGAGAAAGAAAATCTGCACCCAGCATTTAAAAATGCCTGGCAGCAGTGCTTGCTTAAAAAGAAGAATTTTGTATTATTGCTTTTGTATCACTGTTCCTGCCAGGAGCTACAACATTTAATTATGCTTTAGGCTGTTTGAGAGATAAAATCTTTATGGAGCTCACTGAAGTCCTCCTCTGAACCAGGGCATTGGTGCTTCTGTGTGTTCATAGATGATTCTTGGCCTCCAGGGATCCTGATGAATTGTCAGGRGTTTTTGCTTGGTTGGTTATCAGAGGAGTAAGATCAGCAAAATGGAGACATCACTATACATTCCACTGGCAAATGGATTGGCCAGATTGACTGGAAGCTTTATTTGTGGCTATCAGGTTTCTTAACCAGCTCTGATTTTATTGTTGTGTGCTGGAGATAAYTCTGGTTGTGGGCATTGCCTGAGCCAGGCTCTGATGTGGCCCTGGTGTCCTGTTGGCTTTGGAGCAGTGATTGCATTCCTGGCTGAAATCATAAATCCTGTGTCCACTGCAGCTTCTGGAGCTGACCCCCAGTGCCATTTCCTATTTATAATTTCCCATCAGTGTGGGGTGATGAATTGTACCCTACAAGTTAATTGCKTGCTGTCCAAGAAATCCAGAAATACTTTATGAAGACTTGCAGGAAGATGAGTATCAATCAGAGCATTTTCCTGTTCAAGAAAATGCTGCATATTGATTTTTCTTTTAAAATGAAAATAGTGTAATAACCCACTCAGCAGGATTTACTGGGCTCTTAATCATCCAYGGTCATTGCTGGAGAGGGAGAAAGTTTAATGTTCCTGCTGTGGGCCTTCCTGCCTGCCTTATGGAGGATGGCTTGGATTGCAAGGATGATGTTTATAGGTACTTCTGTTCATCAGAATTATTGCATGTACTCAGCTAGAAACAGAAGCTTTAGAATGAATCTGAGTTTTCCTTTTGTTTTGAAACACAGGGAAAAAATTCAGTGATGTCTGCATTGCTCGAGTTCCGTCGTAGCTCAGCTGCAAATATTGCTTCAAGTGCTTTTTTCTTCCTGTCCAAAGCTTTTCTGTCCCTTTTCATTGTCATTCCAGGAAAAATTGGAGCAATTGGAATTTTAATGACACAGCTCTTGTTGCTTTTGCAAAGAGCAGTGCAAAGAGTAGAGGGAAAGGGTAGAATGAGCAGAGAGTTTCTTGATCCAAACTGTTGAAAAAATGAAAGAATAAGAAATAAAAGTGAGGAAGGTGAGGCCTGGCACAGTGTCCAGAGCAGCTGTGGCTGCACCATCCCTGGAATTGTCCAAGGACAGTTTGGACAGGGATTGGAGCACCCTGGGACAGTGGAAGGTGTCCCTGCCCATGGCAGGGGTGGCAYTGGATGGGCTTTGATGTCCCTTCCAACCCAAACCATTCTGTGATTTGTTGGATAAAATATGAAACTCTTTAGCCTAGAAAAAGAGGCATAAAAAGAATGAGTATYTGGAACTGAAACAATCCCCTTACAATGGGAATAGGAAGCAAATGTTTTAGCAGTGCTGGTGATTAACCATTGGAGCAGCCTGGCAAAGGGAATACAGTGAATTTTCAATTTTCTGCACTTGGCAGTTGCAGATAGTTCGTGGCCAAATGCAAATGGTTGGATTCTGTAGAGATGTAATTCAGTGAAGTTTAATGGTCTGTGATATGAGGGGAGTTTAAATAATCAATGACTTGAAACCTCTTCCACTTTGCAGACCCCTGTTTATTTCCCCTGGAGATGACAATCTCCATATAATGAGTTTGTCTACTGATAATGGCTTTGCTTTTATTTGAGGTAGTTTTGTAGGTCCTGTAGAAATTAGTCTGCTGATCCCTATGGTTTCATGGCCACAGCTTGGCAAGGATTCAACTAAATCCTGGTTTAAACAGCACTAAAATTCTGTGAGTGTGTGGTTTTTATGTATTCCTGAGCAGGAAGCTCCATTGGTCCCTCCAGTGAGAAGATCCTGGGAATGTCATGRCAGAAAAGTCCACATGTTCCTGCAGTGATTAATCCCAGCATTAGTTATTCCCAAATCTGATTTTTCTCAGTTGTTTGTGTACCTGCACAGATAGAACAGGATGTTTGTGATTTTATAGCACCTGTTATTTAGCTCAGCAGAGCTGGTATCTATAATAATGCATTTAAATTCATCCAAATAACCTCTGCTATTTTGAATTGTAAGTAACCATTTTTCTTTTCATCCCTTTAACCTGAGGTTCAGGGTAAATGAGTTTCCAAAGGCCACATTGAGTAGGTGGCAGAGAGAACTGAGAGTTAATTTCCCTCCCATTGCTGTTTCAAAAGGAAAGAGAAAAACAGGCATGGCTCCAAGCAGAAAAATTACATTAGCACTTATTTTTCTAGGAGATTGTCCCAATTTTTGTTCCTACAGCTGGATGGTTCCTGTTTACTGGCAGTGACAAAAACAGCTCCCATTTTCTGGTTTTCCTCRCAGGGAGAGAAGGTGAATTACGAGAAGTTCAGGGTTTGGCTGCTGCACAACAAAGACGCCTTCACCTTCTCACGGTGGCTGCTCTCAGGAGGGGTGTATGTGACCCTGACAGATGACAGTGACACCCCCACCTTCTACCAGACCCTGGCTGGAGTCACACACTGTGAGTAAAGGTGTTTCTGAAAAAAAAACCTGCCAGAGCTCACAGGCAAAATAGCTGTGCATCGAATCTCCCTGCTCCTCTGTATTCAGTTCAGTGAGACAAATTCCWTCTCTGAGCTCATTTGTTCTCTGCTTTTTGTGCTGTGATGTAAAATATTCTCATGTACAAGCACACTGGGTTGTTTTTTTTTAAGAGATAATAATGCTGAGGCTCCAACACTTCTATAGAAGTTTGCAACCCGAAAAGCTTAAAAAAAAGTATCTTCCAAAGTGGTTGGCTGGTGACATTGGGTTTATTTTTGGTCTTTATAGAGGGTTGTAAAACTACTGAGAAACTACTGAGAGCATTGAGAAAATAATATTTGTTTCAAAAATAATATTTGTTTCAAAAATTAGTGTTACCTCTTAGTTTTTATTTTTTAAATTTTTTATTCCTGGCATGTGGTAGAGTCAGGGAAGTGAATTAACTAAAGAGAAGCATCTTCAGGATTTGGGTTTGGGAATTGTCTCTGAAGAACAAGTGCTGCCTTGTGTCTGAGTTAATGTAAGAGAAGGAACAGCTGGTTTTTAAATTAAACCTGAACCCAAAAGGCTGATAAATGACACTTGATGCAGCAGAGTGATGCAAACATCCATTCCAGTAAAGCACCTGAGGCTCCCTGGGAGAAGGGAGTTGGTTGTGGAGCTGTCAGGGYTTTGAGCAATCTGCTTGTGCTTTATGTACTCTGTGGATTTTCCTCCCTGGTGCCTAATCCTCTGATGGGTGGGTTTTTAGAATAAAGCAACACACCCTGGTTTTCCTCTTGGTTTTAAATGTGGGCATCAAAACTGTTTTCTGACCATCTGAAATGAAAATGCATCATTGAGTCAGGAGTTTCTGAGCAGGTAATTTATTTGCATTACATGAGAGGCTGCAGTACCCATTGAGGTTACAGAAAACCACTSAATATTCTCAGTCTGATAGAAAAGGTAGAGAAAGAAGTGTGTGAAAAAAAATCCCGACCTTCTGAGGGTTCTGGAGTTCAGCACTGGGAAAGATCTTGAATCATACTGAGATCTGTTCTTTTTTTGTGCTTTGAAATTGAAACTTTCAGAACAGTTTTTACTGAGCTTTTCACAGAAAGTTTGTTTATACTGAAACTGAGGTTTGGAATTTAAAAAAAAAACCATTTAAATTTAACAGCTACTGTTTTAATAGATTTTATTTTGTATTTAATGTTGTTCTCACTTCTGGTTTTGATATTGCTGTCACTGTTACCATTGTGTCAGAGCTGGGATTGAGCTTTTCAGAGTATTCCAGAAATCCACGTAGGTGACATGAGGTGATTGTCCACAAATTTGGAAAGCTCATGTGACAGTTACGTTTGGACCTCTAGAGAAACTTAAATTTTCCTGAATTCCCTTGTGATTTACAACAGTGTAGGAATCTCATCCAACAGATGCAAAACTAAGGAAAATGTAAGTGCTTGAGCACTTGGAAATAATTTCAGCCTAATCAGGTCACTCCAAAGAGTCAGAAATCCAGTACAGAAGTATTTTTAACCCAGCTGAATGTGTAAAACAGTGAGAGCTGTTGTGACAGTTCCTTTGCTCTAAATGAAGRCTTGTTCTTCATATTTTTCCCAGGAGAATGGTTGCCTTTGGGAAGGAGCAGGAAGTGAGATAATGTTTGGTAAACTGAGGCAAACGCCACAAGCAGAACACACAGAGAGAGGAAAAGGTTTTCACTTTGTTCTGCTGTAAAAGGCAAAGTTTTCTTTTGTAAAATGCAAGGTTTTCACTTGGTTTTGCTGTAAAATAATTTGTGACCCWTGCAGGTGCAATCAGGGATTTCTCATTCCCACTGATCTCCCCCTTTCCCAGCACCTCTGTGCTTCCCATCCAATCCTTGGACAATGTCAGAGCCCTGAAAAATAGCAATAAAATCAGGAAAAGTTCTTCCCATTGATGTATAAACAGCCCCCATTTCTCTGCAAAGCATCAGTGACTCCATTTCAATCTGCTTAATGAGCCAGCCTATCAGGGAGACAAAGGAATACTAATTTTTCATTTGTAAATAACATTTGTTTTGGTGTGCAGATGACTTTAATTACATTTCTCAACACATAATTARAAATGATATTTTAAAGTTACAGGAAGTTGCACACATTTGATGCTTTTAATCAAATTTTGTTCCGTTTCACTTAAATCAGAAATATGAATAATTTTATTTGAAAGCTGCCTAAATAAGTCAARTCTCCTTTGGACCTTTGCTCCTAAAAATAAACAATTTCAGGGATATGAGGACTGAAAGCAGACCTGAGGACTGACCAATTAGCAGTAGTTTGGATATTTTCAGTTTTGTAGTACGGTCATACACATTTAAATTTATTTTATATATATATCTTTTGAAGCCATCACATTGAACAGCAGTCTGGTGGAGCTTTTAAATCCCACACTTCTGTCTCACTGACTCAGGGGACACCTCACTGATTTCCTTCATTTAGCTGGAAATATTTTTTCTGCTGGAACATGGGTGCTGGTTGCCTTTTTTGTGTCATTTTGCTGTGACTCAGTGTCATSTAATGGGCTTAGATACTCAGGTTTTCAGCCTTTTCCACAGGGAAAATAATTCCATTCATCAGAGGGCTTGCTGKTTTTGAGCTGACAGAATGTTTAATTTGTACTTCTTTGTCACCCAGTTCTTGTGTCACCGAGTTCTGATTAAATAACACCCAAATTCTCCTTTGAACAGAAGAGACTCTTCTCTGTTGTCAGAAAAATTCATCCTGTTCCTTCTGCCACCTCTCACCTGCTGAGGTGCAGTTATGACTGCAATCAGGGTAAATAATTCTATTTTAGAATATACATTTATCATTCATTTAATACAATAAATGAGAGAAGCCCTGAGTAACCAGGCAGGATGGTTGAAACAGAGGAGGAAATTTTTGAAGTAAAATTGAAGCTGAATGTTGTGGAAGGAACAATTTGTGCCAGAGCTGGGTTTGTCAGTCTGGAGGGTTTTGTGGGAGGYTGGAAGGGAAGGGAAATGAGGGGATCCCTTCTCTTGGCTGCCATAAAATCTGTCTGGGTGTGAAATTCTGCAGCGTGGCCACTCCAGCTGGGGCACACTCTGAGAACAGAGATGTGTGGAATCCACCAGGAGAAAATTGTGAAGATTTTGGCTTTATCAAAGTCTCTTTTAAGGGCACATTTCATTCTGTGCTGCTTTTCCCAGGCATGGACACCTTCCCAAGCTGTGCTGTTCACACCTCCTTGTTCCCACCTTGAGGTTCTCTAATCCATATTCTGCTGGATAAACACCTGCACAGCCATGTCTGACACACACAAGGACCTCTCTTAGTCAAAGTTCAAATATTCCCTTCCCTGAGTGCTTGTTTTTAATTAGGAAAAACAGAAAGATGAAAGTCTTGACARCAGCCCAGGCCAATAAGTAAAAGCCTCGGTGTCACTTAATCTGTATTTTGCCACTTGTTATCCTCTTAGTTCCCAGGCTATTTTAYGTCCTGCAAAGCAGCTCTCGCTCCTCAGGTCCCAGAATCTTCTGGGGGGTTAATTTAAAAGCCACAAACGAGAGTTTGGAGTCAGAAGCAGTATTTGGTGTCAGTTTTTTGGTCTCCTGCCTGGCCATGAAGAGCTCTTGGTGCCAGCAGAGCCTGGGGTCTGCCTGGAGGTGAACAGGGAGAGGATCCAAGGCTTGGTAAAATGTTGGGAATATGGTATGTTTCTGCTGCTGTGAACCAGAGAGGATTGTCCCCATAGGTGGGTAAATATTCAGCTTYTGTTATGGATTGGAATATTTGGTCATAGAAAGAATTGTAATAAGCAGTGGATGAAATGAAAATGTGCTTTTAGATTTTTCTAAGGCAAAAAATTTCTTTATGCATGAATTGCTATCCATGGAATATTTTAGAAGGTAATTTTGTGGCAATGGCATTAAAATGTAGGATGGGGGTTCAGTGTTTATCACTGCCATGCACCTGCCTGTTGATCAAATTGGCAGCAGGTTCTAAATTAACTCTTTCTTAGTAGTTTAAGATGATATTTTGACTGAAAATGTTTATTTGTTCTTCCTTTACAATAAGAAGACTGCACTTCAATACTTACAATCATCTCTGAGATTATATTAGTTACTTATTAGAGAACTGTACCRAAAAATCTATTCATAATTTTACAAATCTGAAAGTTTTTCATATTTCTGGTGGRCAAGTGATGAGGGAGACATAAATCAGCATGTGGTAGTAAACTGGTTAAATTTYACAGGTGTATCATATGTCCACGTGACCTCAAATAATCACATCATAGTTAATTACCAAAATGAATAATTACTTGGCCTAAAAAGCCTGTCTGTTCTGAGAATTTTTTCCTGTATTGTGTAAGGTGCATAATTTTAAGTAATCTGAATGAAAGCCCAGTTTACTTTGATGTGATTTGAACAGACATTAGGGAAAAAAGTTGAAATTATGACAAGAGAAAATCCTTTTCCTTTACAAAAGCTCTGTAGAAAGTGGTGTTTTTTCACGCCTGTTGATGTGTTTTGGTATTAAGTGCAGTGTGCTTTACCATGCTTCATTTAACTTCAGTAACAAATATGATTATCTKTATAATCACAAATTGCCAGAGATTCCTTTCCATTTGCACTTCTGGAGGAATAGACAGTGCACTGCATATCCYGAGACTGATTTACAAGATTATGTGCAGAAAAATCACTCAGGAGAAATCAAATTAYGCAACAGCTGCTGCTCAGCTGCAGTTAAACTTCCCCGTGCTGCAATCCTGTAAATCCTGCTCCCTGTTATTCACTGGAACTGCTGACAATTTGTTACAACTGTGAACGAGAAATATTCTTTTGTCACATTCTTACTCGTGTTTAACCTGATTTGTGTGAGGCTAATCAGTGCTAAGAATGTTATTTACTGTTTGGTTTTACTTTCTGAAGTGTTTGGCTCTTGTGCAGAAAGCTAAAAAAAAAATGTAACACTTTTGTGCTAATACTTACCAGYTATTCTTTAAAAGGTAATTATTTGAAAATTCTGTATCTTTTAAATGACCATGACAATTCAACCACTATGGACAGAAATTCAGGCAAGATTATTTCTGATCATCTCTTTTCTGAGATTAAATAATAAAAAACAGCGGAGTTACCACTGTAAGACATCTGTGAAGTACAATTTAAGAAATCAGAATACAGCTGACTTCTATTATAGATATCTGGGAAAGGTTCTCTGGTTAAATAAAACATTCTTTCAATTCTTAATTACTGAAGATAAATATTGCACCTGCCAGGGGAAGGTTTCTGCAGGTTTACCCTTCAGTGAGGACAGTTGGAGTTCCCTGCTGGGTTTGGAATATTTGAGTGTTGCATCACTTGAAGAGTGAAGTGCAGCTCACACATTTGTTATTCTCCCTTTTTACAGAGGTGGATTAAAAGGAAGCAAARTGATTTCCATGGTCATGCACAAGAGAACATAAATAATGCTTTTTGTGTTTGCTAACGAGAGCAGTAACGTGGAAGTGCAATTCCTGTAAATGGCAGCACAAGCTCCCCTCTCCCATTGTTGGGAAGGGGGAGAGCYCTGGGATTCTCCTTGTGGGCTTTCATATGTGGATATTTCCATGTGCTGATCTTCAGAGATGAATCCTCTGTTCCTTTTTCTTGATTTCTAGAAGAAGAATATTCCTGGATAAATTAAGATTACTGCTTCCTCACGTATTGGGGACAGACTTTTAGTGGAACCTGTAGGGTAGGACATGGGGTGAGGGGTTTAAAGGAGGAGTAGATGTGAGGGGTTTAAAGGAGGAGTAGATATGAGGGGTTTAAAGGAGGAGTAGATGTGAGGGAGAAGGTTTTTGTGGATTTTGAGGATTCTCCATCCCTGGAAATATTCCAGGCTAGGCTGGTTGGAGCAGCTTGGTCCCATGGGAAGTGTCCATGGGGGAGGTTGGTCTGGGTGACCTCTGAAGGTCCCTTCCAACCCAAAGGACTTTGTGATTATGAAGACCCAGAGCCAGGGAGTGGCAAAACAGCGGGGAATGAGGGCAGAGAAAAAAAGGGAATGAGTTTTGTTTGTGGATCAGCTCCTGTCTCAAGGAGCTGGGAATGTTTCCTGAGGAGCTGGGGCTGTCACCTCTGTCACTGCACTGAAGGCACAGAGGAAGGGGACATTTGTCACTGATGTCACTTTTCCAGCTGGGCTGCCTAAAAACACCTCCCAGGAAAATGCAAACCCCTTCCATTCCTCCAACTCTGGATATTTGATTCCGATTTTTCTGCTGCTGAGGGCAGGGAGTTGTGTAAGTTTTGGTGCATCAGATGATGTTCCTGCTGGGCAGTTACAACTGCTTCATGCTCACTGCACGTTACCTAAGTTACTATTTTAAGTAAATTACTGCCACTAATGACAGAAACGGAGAAAGAAATCAATAAAATTTCAATTTGACACAGAACTTTTGAGGCGGAGCCCTTCTGTTCTTAAGCCTTCYAGGATTATTATTGTTTCTGTGGACTAAACCAGGCCAAATAGCTCAAGTTAAACCTATTAGAAAACTGGCGTGGATTTAAAGGCTCAGAACCATCTGGGAATGAGATCACACGGAGTGGTTCTTAATATAGACAGCTTTGTCATTCCAGATCTATTTGAGACCCAATTAATTGGCACTGACCTAAAGCACTGTTGTGACACACTTGCATATGTAAAAAGGTTCAAAGTATTGTTGGGCACAAACCTAATCTTGTTATATATATATTGAATTTCAAGGATAAAGCATGGGGAGAGCAGCATTTGTACAGAATGTTTGGAAGGAAAACATAAGTTTGGCTGTTTTTATCTATCCTCATTTAGCACCTTGGTTGATTTATTGGGTTTGATGGGGTTTTTTTTCCCCCCTCTTTAAATTGCCTTTTAAGTTTCTCTGCATAAAGTRTTTTGTAGGTTTGTGTAACCACTCCCCTGTGTTGATTGGGATTGTAAGTAATTCTAGAGTATAAATAATGAACTGAAATAAACTATTTTTTATATGGGAAAAAAAGTGCTGAGACACAATGTTTAAATGCCACATTAAAATTTCGCCTTATTACTGTATCAAAAAGCTAAAAATTTCAAATAGGAGTTTTTCAAGGGCAGCCAAGTACTACATAATTTTTTTCCATAAAAGATCTGGGATTTTTTTTTTTTTTTAATGCTGCTTTACATCTTTTTTGAGGATTTAAATACTGAATACTTAGGGGGAAAAAAGACACTGCACATATAATCTGCCTGTTGAAATCACCATGAAGAAATAGGTGAAAAATGAAAAAAATAGGTGAGAAATTAAGAAATAGGTGATAAATGAAGAGGTTATAAGTGGGAAAAATTAATTTCTGTGTTTCTACACACTTGTGCYGATGTTATTGATGTGAACTCCTGGATGGCAAATGGTTAAGATGATTCTGTGGACAAAGAAGGTTAATTTTGTTTTCTTTTTGTTGATTGCACAGTGGAAGAATCCGACATCATCGACCTGGAGAAGCGATACTGGCTGCTGAAAGCTCAATCGAGAACTGGACGCTTCGATTTAGAAACATTTGCCCCCTTAGTGTCCCCTCCCATCCACCCATCTCTGAGTGAAGGTATGGAATGAACAGCTCTGGTGCCACAAAAAAAAGTCGTGGCTTTCAAAGTGCCTGCTCTGAAATGGCCTTAAAACTTGAGGGACAGAATTGTTTCACTGAGTTCTGAAAAATGGGAAAAGATGCTCAAGAAATCTCTATTTGTTGGGAAGTCTGGGGTGCTGGAGGATGTGTTGCATTCTTATCAGTTGGCAGGAAAAATATCAGATTTTATTAAAAAGTTACCCTGTAGTTGCTTAAAATGTTTTCTTAAGATGCTGTGATGACAAGATAAACTGCTGGCCCTGAATGAGAGAAAATTGACAATTTTAAACTGAAAAATGGGAGTTTCATCTATTAAAAGGCAGCTCAGTGWGCAAGTCAGCTGTGATATCATGCAGCCAATACAACACCCTTCCCTAACTGAGTAAATTAAGGAAGATTTTATTCAGGAGACTCACTCAGGGGATTTGTAGATTGTTATTTTTGCTGACAACCCAACTGGTCTGTCCAGTTGGAGCYGCTCTGGTTCTACCTGGAGGCTGCAGTTGTCTCATTGCCATTTGGACATTCCACTTGCACAGGTCTGCAGCCCTGAATTGACAATTTTGTTATTATAAAATTATTATATTTTGTTATTACTGCAACCAGTAAATGGTTGCATTTACTGACAAGTTGCAGCAGTAAGGAGCAAATGGGAAATTCATCTGCAATGGTAAAAAAATCAGAATTTATGTCCAATTCTGCAGGGATATATCCCCACATCCTTTTGTTCCTGAGTGTGTTTGATCTACTCAGTGATTTAAATTTACACAGCTGCTGTGGAGAAACTTGAATGGTTTCTGGTCATTCTTTGCCTTCTGTGGAATAAAAAAAAAAAAAAATAAGATGGGATAAATAATGCTGAATGATTGGAACTCTGAAATACTTTGGAGGCTGATAACTACAGCTCCTAACTCAGGGCCAAATTTGCAGTAGAATTTGGTGATTTCCATGGGAATTTCTCTCAGGCACGTTGGAAATTCTGTCCATACTGGTTTAGAGYCTCTAAATCAGTCATTACAAGAAGGGTGTGAGAATCAGGCATCAGTTTGGAATTTGTGATTCCCTCCCCACCCCTTGGCTGCATCAGCCATYCTTGAGAGCTGTAACTCACCTTTAAACACTCTCAGCAGTTCTTAATTCCCTTTCTCACACTTGAGAAGAATAAATGACAGGTATTTATAGCTCTCCTTGCCCATGTTCCCCTGGTGGAGGTGCAGGGGGGGTCTGTCAGGTGCTGTAACAGGAGATGCTTTTGTGGTTTGCAGGTTTGTTTAATGCTTTTGATGAAAACCGAGACAATCACATAGATTTTAAAGAAATTTCCTGTGGGCTCTCAGCATGTTGCAGGGGACCCTTGGCAGAGAGACAGAAGTGTAAGTATGCAAAATGTTAACTCTTGATTTGGGAGGAATTTTTCAGTTGGAGCAATGAGGTTTAGTTGTTTTCACCTTTTAAGATTTTTTTTCCCACTGGACAAATGCGTGTCTGTGAAAGGTGATTTCAGAAGTTAAAAAAAAAAAAACTTTAAATATCGAGGTTTCCTTTTCTAAAGGATGATTAAACCTAAATCTRTGTATTTTACAGCTTATCAGTAGTTCCATTTAAATTATCTAACTGGGAAAAACTACATTCAGAAGTCATTTTGCAGCGTTCTGCATTTTGATGCAGAAGTGTGTATCTCAATATAGAAAGTGTGAGCACTCATTCATTATCTGTAATAGAAAACAAATGTCCTATTTGATTGTCTTGTGGTGAATAGCATGTTGTGGCTTCTCACTGCCCAGTTCCCAGCTGGCTCCCTGCAAGGTTCCTGTGTTTTCAAACACTTTTTGTTCCCTATTTCTCCAAAACCATATTGTTGCAAMCTCACGAGCTGTAATTCCCTGGAAATTTCTGGATGCACATCTGTTCCCTGCTATGTCCCATYGGCAAACCCAGCAGAGGATTGCAGGAATCTGGATTTATGGGATGCAGCTGCTCCATTTCCTCACCTCCCCACGTGCATCACAACTGTCAGCACTAAATCAGCTGCTTGGGACTCTGCAGGCTTAGGGGCTGCAAGGAATGAAGGAAAAGATTTGTGGGGTGCTTCTAACAGCAAAATCATTCCTTTTTCCCCTCAGTTTGCTTCAAGGTGTTTGACGTGGACCGGGATGGGATCTTGTCTCGCACCGAGCTCAAGGACATGGTGGTGGCACTTTTAGAGGTGTGGAAAGACAACAGGACGGATAAAATCCCTGTGAGTTGTGTTTTGGGTTGATTCCCTGCTCTTTCCTGGGTTCTGCTGCCAGAGGAGGGATGGGCAGGGTGGTGGGACAGGGCTCAGTGAGGTACAGACTGCTCTGAACCCCTCAGCATGGGGACAAAGCTGTCCCTTGCCTTGAAAAGCTGTGACCTACCCAAAGCTCAAGGCTTAATCTGGAATGTCACTTCTTTATATAAAAAAAAGTATAAACCCCCAACTTTTCAATCTGAGCATCCTTAGTTTGAATTACTGACAGTTTCCAGCATTTCTTCCAGTCACGTTTTTATTCTGAACACACTCTGCTGGTAGATTTTAACTCTGTTTTCTGATCCTTTTGTTGAAGGAGTTGGACATGAGTTTGTCTGAAATCGTAGAAGATATTTTACATATGCATGATAACACAAAGGTAGGAATKTGCTGTTCTTTCCTTGTCATTTTTATACCCCAGGATCTTCAGTTTATTTATAAGGAAATAAAGCCTTGTGCTTTCTTTAGAGCATAGATGTGTCAATAAAAGAATCTTTTTCAAGGAATGTCAGTTTTCCGTTAAAATTTACCACGTTGTTGTGTGAAAGAAAGAACATGTTTGAATTTTATAAGCCATTTAAATACATGAAGCTAAACCCAAAATGCATAACCAGATGAAATTAATTGGAAGCCTGTGGTGTTTGCARGGCTTTGCTGTGCATAACTAACACCAGTTTTAAATCTGATGCTTGACTTCTGTTCTTTGTTCTCTGTTAAAATTGATTTTATGAAGAAGAGAGAGTGCATAAGTTTATCTTATATTTTATGCAATGGCAAGACACATTATCCTCCTGTGGAGGCATCTGTCATGACACAACAAAAAGTTGTGGTAATTTATATTATGCTTTAGATTTAACTGGGTGTAAATCTGTAATTATATCCTTGTTCTTTGGAAATTCGAAGATATCCACAATATTGTGGAAGTTGCTTCCATTAKTTCATCCTTTGCTTCACTAATTGGGAAGTGTCTGGAAACGATAAATAATTTATGAAAAACKATAAAGAATGTCTAGAAATGCTTAATTACTTGTTTGAATAGTTGTCTTGCCTTCTTCTACTCCAGCAAAGTGGTGGGCAAATACTTTATTGCARTTCTTTAATTGCCAAAGCTGTGGAAAATGTGGCTTCTCTCTGAGGTTTTTATTGTTTGGCTTCTTTAAAAAAAGGGCACTTTATAAGCAAGTGTACAGTTTTGATTCCACAAAGAGTTAAAAAAGAAGACTTCATCCTTCAGAATATTTTTTTAGTTGCATCATCAGTGTAGTGCTGGAAGGAGCTGATGGTGCAGTAATTACATAAATTATTTAACCTCTTTTCATGTGTTAGCTTTGACCTGGGTGATCTCTGGAGAAAATGGTCTGTGAGGAGAGGCACAATAACTGCCAGTGCTGTAAAATTGGCCATGAGTTATATTGCCTGATAAAAAAATCAGATGGAGCCYTTCACTGAGCTGAAGGTCCCTCTGACATGGTCGCTGTTACACCACCCTGATTTGGCARGTGATTGAGAATTAATGGGATTTGTGGTGTTAGGTGAGATCACAAGGCCTTGGGGATCCAAACTGGTTTTTTCCTGACCCTCAGAGGAAGATGATGGGTTGGGAAAGGATGCAGAATGGACATTGGATGTGAGTGATGGAGAGGAGGAGCAGAAGTTCCATGCTGAGCATGGTTCACCCTCTCCACTCCCAAAGCCTTTTCCTTCTCTAGATTACCTGTGTTATGCTAAAACTGGATTTTTTTTCTTTCATTGGATCAAATTTTATTTAAAAGTAGTAGATGTCAATTTTAATGAAATCCCTGGTTTTGTTGTATCTTCTATGAAACATGCAATGACCATTTCACCAGAACCAACTTCACATTCTGATGGATTTTCCTTCCCCTTTCCTCCTCCTCCCTCACAGCTGGGCCACCTCACTCTGGAGGACTACCAGATATGGAGTGTGAAGAGTGCTCTTGCCAACGAGTTCCTAAATCTGCTTTTCCAGGTATGTCTAGAGGAATCCCAAGGTTGGAATTGTCAGCAATGACCTGCTGAGCTGTTTGAATGGCCCCAACTGCAGCAGCAGCAACTGCGTGCACAGGCTGGGGCTGCACAGGACGGGATGAAGCTCTGCAGCTCTGGTGTCTTGGCAGAGGGGTTTTCTCTCTGATTCCTGGGAGGGAATGGGGTTCTGTAGCTCTGGTGCCTTGGTAGAAGGGTTTTCTCTCTTGTGTCTGGGAAGGGATGAGGCTCTGCAGCTCTGAGTACCTTGGCAGAAGGGTTTTCTCTTGTTCCTAGGAGGGGATGTGGTTCTGTCAAGGCTCAGTTCTGGTGCCTTGGCAGAGGGGTTTTCTCTCTTGTTCCTGAGTGGGGATGGAGCTCTGCAGCTCTGGTGCCTTGGCAGAAGGGTTTTTGATTGTTGTTCCTCAGAGGGAATGTGGCTCTGCAGCTCTGGTGCCTTGGCCAGAAGGGTTTTCTCTCTTTTTCCTGAGAGGGAATGGGGTTCTGCAACTCTGGCTGCCTTGACCAGAAGGGTTTTCTCTCTGATTCTTGCTCCTGGGAGGGGATGGGGCTCTGCAGCTCTGGCTGCCTTGGCAGAAGGGTTTTCTCTCTTGTTCCTGGGAGGGGATGGGGCTCTGCAGCTCTGGTGCCTGGGCAGAGGTGTTTTCTGTCTTGTTCCTGGGTAGGAATGGAGCTCTGCAGCTCTGGGTGCTTTGGCAGAACAGTTTTCCCTTTGATTGCTGTACCTGAGAGGGGATGTGACTCTGCAGCTCTGGTGTCTTGGCAGAAGGGTTTTCTCTCTTGTCCCTGAATGGGGATGTGGCCCTGGCAGAAGGGTTTTCTCTCTGATTTTTGCTCCTGGGAGGGAATGGGGCTCTGCAGCTCTGGCTGCCTTGGTGGAAGGGTTTTCTGTCTTGTTCCTGGGTGGGGATGGGGCTCTGCAGCTCTGGGTGCCTTGGCAGAAGGGTTTTCTCTCTTGTTCCTGGGAGGGGATGGGGCTCTGCCTTGGCAGAAGGGTTTTTGATTGTTGTTCCTGAGTGGGAATGTGGCTCTGCAGCTCTGTTGCCTTGACCAGAAGGGTTTTTCTCTGATTCTTGTTCTTGAGTGGGGATGGGGCTCTGCAGTTCTGGCTGCCTTGGGAGAAGGGTTTTCTCTCTCATTCTTGCCCCTGGAAGGGGATGTGGCTCTGTAGCTCTGGGTGCCCTGGCAGAATAATTTTCTCTTTGGTTGTTGCTCCTTGGAGCACGTGGAGATGCCTAAAGCCTCATCTGTTCACCAGAACCTGGTGCACTGCTCAGAAAAGGAGCAGAAATTCCAAGTGTAGCAGCAGTTTTGTTTTCCATTAGACAAAGGCTGTGTTTGGTACGGGTTTTGTGACAAATCTTTGCCAAGAAAATGACCCAGGGAGTGAGAAAAAGCTCTGATTCTTTCCRTTTCTGTTTTACAACCAGTTTCCCTTTCCATTTTCTGTCATGGCCCTCTAAGGTAGCTCTCATTGCTTCCTTAATGAAGCAGTGCTTGAAAGCTGGGATATCCTATCACTGCTCACTTGCAGAAAGCTGAGGATTAAGTATGTGCTGAATTGGGTTTTAATTGAGCTTGAATTGGATTTTTCTAAATCCTTGAAAGCCATTTTTTAGCTCTGGCTCACTTTGTGCAGACAATAACCCTCCAAGAGTATTTTCATGCAGTTTGTTCCTTACCTGTTTGTTGGAGAGGTTGGTACTTGGAGTTTAAATTATAATGATAATAATCCTAATTGGCCTGTGACTGCTTTATAAATTGCATTTTGAAGAATATTTTCCCAAGAGCCTCAGGGTGACTGAGTGAGAGTATCCTGAGGTCACCAGCTACACCACAGCTGGAAAGAATAACACCACAAACTTCTTCAAATTCATTTTATCTCTAATTACACCAGGTTTTGCTTACATTGCAATCTTCTCAAGAAGGGCTGTCTTTATTTTTGGCCTGTCTAGCATCAAATATCCCCTCATAACTAAATATTGATGAACTAACAAATATCTCTGCAATCTTGACAAAGAATGAATGAAGATGTAATAAATCTGTCTTAATGCTGATTACACACCAACAGTGTTGCACATTGCTCATTGGAAGTCTCATTTACAATATTTTTTTTTCCTCCTGGCAGAGCTGCTGTATTTTCATTTTAGATTTTAAWTTTTTTTTAATAACTTTATCATGGGAGGCACAGGGCAGAGTTTGCCATTGATTTATCTGGGCATTTATTTTGGGGTGTCATGTGCCTCATCTGCAGACAGAAAAGCCAAATATTCTGAGTGGAAAGCTTGTCAACAAATGGGTTTGTTTGCAAAGGGGTGAGTTTATCTGAAGAAATCTCATTTTAGCTCAATGCTGAACCCAAATTTAAAAAGAAACACCAGACCCAGCTGTGTTGTGTGTGCTGGAAAATCTTTTGCTTCCCCCTGGCTAATGGTCTTTGTTTCATTCAGAATGTGCAATGGTCTCTCTCTCTGTAATATAAATTTAAATAARACATCTTAGCAGTGATTAGAAATCTCCAGCTGAGATACAAATTGATGGCCTCAGAAGAGAAATCAGGGAAAGGTTGTAAATCATGGAGTGAGCAGCAAAACCATCTGGGAGAGCTGAGAGCTGACCCTGCTCCCTGCAAGGTTCCTGTGGAGCCCTTCCCTCCTCACTCCCTGTCCAGCTTTACTGGG